TTCAGCCATAAGCACAGAAAACTAATAGTGGCTTAAATGCTGAAAAATTTATTTGTCTCAGGCAACAAGAGGCCTGGAGGTAGGCCATCCAGAGTTTTAAAGGGGGCTCGATTAAGCCTTAGAGAAGAGTCTTTCTGCCTCTCCCCTGTATATCATTAGCAAATATATTTTCATCTTTATACTTCTTTTTTAAAAAAAAAAGATTTTACTTATTTATTCATGAGAAACAGAGAGAGAGAGAGAGAGGCAGAGACATAGGCAGAGAGAGAAGCAGGCTTCTCGCAGGGAGCCTGACGTGGGACTTGATTCCCAGACCGCGGGATTGCACCCTAAGCCAAAGGCTCAACTGCTGAGCCACCCAGGTGTTCCTCATCTTCATACTTCTGATCTCATAGTTGCAAGATGGTTGCTCTACCCTTAATCTCACATCCACATTCCAGGCAGGAAGAAGGAGAAAGAGAAAAGGAGGAACTAGTAGTACCTGTGGCAGGAGAACAAACGTTTCCTATATCCCTGACTGACTTAAACTTAGTCACCAGAATTGTGTCATTTGGCCACCTCAGCAGCAAAAGGTATGGAAAGACAGATATTTTTGGTAGTACACAATTGATTCACACAAAATTGTAATTCTTTAGTAAAAAAGAATGAAAGAATGTATATTCAATAGTCAACAAGGAAAAGATGTGTTAAAAAGATGGGATAGAAAGAGAAAAGAATTTCACATAGGATTTTGAGAAACGCGTACATTTAGGGGTAGGCAAAAGAAAATGGATCGTACAGAGAGCAAAAGAACCTAGAGATGTAAAAGGAAAATAGGAATATCATTAAAAGAGTTACTTATGTTTTGCAATCTTATTATGTTTGAATAATATTTTGACACATTTCTGAATTACTTTGTAATGTGAGGAAAATCATTACATTATGATTACATAAGTCATGCTATCTGATAATTGACATTAATATTCCTTTTCAAATGAAATTATTTTTTATAAAAAAAAGATAGTGTAGGTTCCTGGGGCAGATGGCTGGGTCTAAAGAAAGGAAGAAATGAATGGGTGTCCAACTCACTACAAATACCAGACACTGCAACTGTTCTATAACTGGTATTACATTAGATTACTTCAAACACGTCAAAAAAGTGAATCACTGCACAGCCAGTTGATGTGTCCCTTTAAATAAATGTTTCATCTTTCTGAAGAAAAACTGTCCCTCTGTGAATGCCACAATGATAACATTTTTTGGTGTTACGCAAAATGTTTTTTTTAAAATAACTGTTCTTCAAAATGTGACCCATACATGGGCCCCTGGGGGGGCTCAGTCCATTAAGTGTTTGACTCTTGATTTTGGTTCGTCATGATCTCAGGGTCATTATACTGAGCCCCCCCCCCCCATGTCAGGCTCCATGCTCTGTAGGGAATCTGCTTGAGGATTCTCTTTCTCCCTCTGCCTCTGCCCCTCCTTCCTTGCTCTCTCTCATAAATAAATAAATAAACATATAAATAAGACCCATACAATAAATGACCTACACCAGAAATTGGTTAAAACTTGTGCTTCCCAAGTTTAATGTTGAAATGCAAATGTCCTTTTACTTTTAGCTTGATGTATTTGAGTTGGCATGTTCAATGTGAATCATTGTTGCTACCAAATATGATTTTATTGAAAGTTATTTGACACCTGAAAGTATTTTCAAAACTAAAAAGGAGAAATTATGTTTAAACTTTCATATAAATCTGTCTCAGATTAGTGTTGATTTAAAAAAAGTAATGGATAAGATAATGCAGTATTTGCAGTATTATTTGAAACAACATAACTTTTTCTTTTTAAAACAGATAAAATTCTTTGATACAACCCATTTCTTTCTTTTTTTAACTTTCTCCAAGTCTTTATTTTTTTATAATAAATTTAATTTTTTATTGGTGTTTAGTTTGCCAACATACAGAATAACACCCAGTGCTCATCCCGTCAAGTGCCCCCCTCAGTGCCTGTCACCCATTCACCCCCGACCCCCACCCTCCTCCCCTTCCACCACCCTTAGTTCATTTCCCGGAGTTAGGAGTCTTTATGTTCTGTCTCCCTTCCTGATATTTCCTACCCCTTTCTTCTCCCTTCACTTCTATTCCCTTTCACTATTATTCATATTCCCCAAATGAATGAGAACATACACTGTTTGTCCTTCTCCGATTGACTTACTTCACTCAGCATAATACCCTCCAGTTCCATCCACATTGAAGCAAATGGTGGGTACTTGTCATTTCTAATGGCTGAGGAATATTCCATTGTATACATAGACCACATCTTCTTTATCCATTCATCTTTCGATGGACACCGAGGCTCCTTCCACAGTTTGGCTATTGTGGACGTTGCTGCTATAAACATCGGGGTGCAGGTGTCCCGGGGTTTCATTGCATCTGTATCTTTTGGGGTAAATCCCCAGCAGTGCAATTGCTGGGTGGTAGGGCAGGTCGATTTTTAACTCTTTGAGGAACCTCCACACAGTTTTCCAGAGGGGCTGCACCAGTTCACATTCCCACCAACAGTATAAGAGGGTTCCCTTTTCTCCGCATCCTCTCCAACATTTTTGGCTTCCTGCCTTGTTAATTGATACAACCTATTTCTTTTTTTTTAATTTTTTTATTTATTTATGATAGTCACAGAGAGAGAGAGAGAGAGAGGCAGAGACACAGGCAGAGGGAGAAGCAGGCTCCATGCACCGGGAGCCCGATGTGGGATTCGATACCGGGTCTCCAGGATCGCGCCCCGGGCCAAAGGCAGGCGCCAAACCGCTGCGCCACCCAGGGATCCCAATACAACCTATTTCTAATGTCAGTATTTTATATCAACTCAAATAAATTAGCCACATCCATTTGATACCATAACTTTCTGCTTTTCATTTAGAATAAAATATGCTTTACCTTCTTTATATCTTAATTTATTTTATGATAGCTATGAGAGATTTCAATAAATTAAAAGTATAAATAGAAAGTATTGTTCCTTTTTCTTCCCTTAGTATAACTAGTTGTGGGAAATATTTTATTTATTTATCAGAAAACAATCTGAATTTCTCTTATCTTCAATGTAACTGAAGTTAAAATGTTGCCTTATACACTAAAATGGAAAATAGTCAAACATCAATGTAATTATACAATAATTCCACTCCAGTGGCATTTCTCCACTTTCTCTGGGTAGTTGAGTTCCAGGTTGTTCGTCTACTTGCCTTTGCTGAAGGGTAGCTAGCTTTCATAATGTGCAGGAAGATCTTGACCCTGGAAAACGAATCTACAAGTCTTTGGGGACTTCAGGCAGTCTCATGCTCCACCTAATTACTAATTCATCAGGACGTCTACACTGAGGACTCACTACTAATTGAAGATTGGGGGTATAAAGGGAGGCTAGTAATAATCCCTGAGATTAAGGAGTTTATGATGTTGGGGGGTTGGGGGTCAGATGGGGTAGTAGGTGTTTCAAAATAAGGTGATATAAGTCTAAATTCAGGGCATGACAAGGTGCTATTGGAACCTTGAGAAGGTTAATATAGAGAAGACACTTAGCTCAGTCTTAAGGACATTTGATAATTTGATAATTTTTGATGACCCGAAGGACATTTGGGAGGTGATGGGTCGTTGAAACCAAAGGTTCGTGAAAATTTAGCTAGGGAAAATCAGTTGGAAGAAGAGCATCATAGAAGAAGTTACATGCAGATGCTCAGAAGAGAAAGAACATACCACGTCCTGGGTGCTGTCAGTGTAGCTCAATCTAGATGGAGCACAATGTGAGTGAGATCACATGAAAATAAGCTGCAGAAGTAAACAGGACTAGATTGCAGTGTGCTCAAAGTACTATTTCCTCCTCCTAGAAATATTTTGTTTGGTTGTCTAAGCTAGTAATAGGAATTAGAATCAATACTGAACTGCTTACTAATTAATTTATTAAACCAAAGCATAATAATTATTAAGAGTATCAGTACATGTCAGTAATTACATGCTAGGCTTTCCTATAGAATATATAGAATGGTTATATGGTTAGAATATATTTCCTGTAAAATACATAGAACAGTTATTTCCAGAGCTTAAAGAATTAAAGGGGGTGGGGGGTGGGGGTTGTAATTGCTAGTTTTAGAGCGAGCATTTAGAGAAATTGTACCTTCTTAATACTATAATACAGTCCCAAGGGAAAAATATGATGTTAGAAAGTAAAGGCAAGAGTATACAGCAAAATAACGAAAATAGTAAATATTGTAATAATGTGAATAGAGTATTTTTTTTAATTTAGTCATTTTTCAGAACAAATGAATGCCACCAAAAACAAAACAAAACAAACAACAACAACAAAACGGTATTAGCAGTAAGACTGGGAATATTTCATCCAGGCCTCACACACTATTTCCCAGAACCTTGGGAGGAATGTTCACTTATTTTGGCAAAATGGCGAGCAACTCTCTCTACTACTGGATATTTTAGCTGGGGTCAAAATCGCAGATGGAAATAACCTCTTGGAGAACAGTTCAGCAGTATCGCTTCGCTTTACCACATCACGAAGAATGCGCTTCCAAGATATAAAATCCGGGACTGCGGGGCGAAGGGCAGGGAGGGCGGTACCGTCTACGGCATCAGCGTCTACAGGCTCGGGCCGCGCCAAATTCCTCGCAAGCGCGAGTAGTGAGAGCTCGGGGCAGCTCGTGTGTTCCGAGGATGCTCCGCAGGCGAGAACTCTGGTCTGTGCTTAGACAATTTGCCAAGTTCCTCGTGGAGACCCGTTCCCTTTCCTTTTGTTTCGTGTCTTCTCTTTATCAAATCTGCGTGGAAAAACCCACATCCAGGGGTAGAGACGGCACAACAAAGCCCTGAAATCAAAGAGACACCCTCGTCATCCTCAATCAACCCGCGGCGCAAACGCAAGGACACGAAGTGTGAGCCGCTGGGCACCCGTAGCTCAGATTCCCAGGCTCCTACGCGGGCACCGGAAGTGGCCGCCCAGCTTGACTTCCGCTTCCAAAGCGCTCGCTCCCGGGGCTCGCGTCCTGGTTGTTGGTAAACCACCAAGGAGTCTGAGAGCGTGGAGGCCGCGCGCCCTCTTTCGGTCGGCGGAGGCATCGCGGTGTCACCTGTGCAGAGCAGGTAAGCCGGCGCGCAGAGTCTTCCCCATCCTGGGGGCGGTGGCGCTCAAGGCATCCACCTGCCCCTCCTCAGGTCCTTCCTCCGGATCCCTCGTTAGCCCCCCCTTCCCCCTCCTTGCTCTCAGGTACCGACCGCGCGGTGGCCCTTGGACGAAGTTCCTCCGGCCTCTCCAGCTTCGCCTTAGACGCAGGGAGGAGTGGACGGCCAGTCTCATAGGTGTGAGGTGGTGTCTCGTTGTGGTTCTGATTTCCCCGGTTTGTGATGCTCCATATATGTTCGTGTGTCTGTTGGCCATCTGCATGTCTTCTTTGGAAAAATGTCAATCCAACTTCTGCCCATTATTAAAATTTTTTTTGAAAAGTTAAGTTGTATATACCTTTTTAAAAAATTATATATTTTGGTTATTAACCTGTTGCTGGATGTATGATTTGCAGATACCATCTTCCATTCAGTAGGTTGTCTTTTGTTCTGTTGATGGTTTCCTTGTCTCTGCAAAAGCTTTTTAGTTTGATGTAATTTCATTTGTTTTACCGTTAAGCTTTTTGTTTTACCTTGCCTGAGGAAAATGGTTCAAAAAATTTTACTAAGACTGGTGTCGAAAGCTGACTACTTGTGTTTTCTTCTTGGGGTTTTATGGCTCCGTGTGTTATATTCAAGTCTTTAATCCATTTTGAATTAATTTTTGTATATGGTATAAGAGAGTTGTCCAGTTTCACTTTTTTTTTTTAGCACGTAAGCTGTCCAATTTTCCCAACATTATTGAGGAAGAGACTTTCTTTTCCCCATTGTATGTAATTGACCATCTAAGTGTTGGCTTATATCTGGGCTCTGTCTTCCATTCCATTGCTGTGTGTGTCCATTTTTAAAGAAAATTTTTTTAGACAGAACATAAAGACTCCTAACTCTGGGAAATGAACTAGGGGTGGCAGAGGGGGAGGAGGGCGGGGGGTGGGGGTGAATGGGTGACGGGCACTGAGGGGTACACTTGACGGGATGAGCACTGGGTGTTATTCTGTATGTTGGTAAATTGAACACCAATAAACATTAATTTATAAAATTAAAAAAAAATAAAAGACAAAAGCCATAAGAATAACTATAACCACAAAAATTTGTAAATGGATATACAATGTAAAAATAAGTAAATTTTGATATAAATAAAATAAAGAAGGGGTTAATAAAAGTGTAGTTTTAATGTAGTTGAAAAAAAAGAAATTTTTTTAATAATAAATTTATTTTTTATTGGCGTTCAGTTTGCCAACATATAGAATAACACCCAGTGCTCATCCCGTCAAGTGCCCCCCTCAGTGCCCGTCACCCAGTCACCCCCACCCCCCGCCCTCCTCCCCTTCCACCACCCCTAGTTCATTTCCCAGAGTTAGGAGTCTTTATGTTCTGTCTCCCTTTCTGATATTTCCCACACATTTCTTCTCCCTTCCCTTCTATTCCCTTTCACTATTATTTATATTCCCCAAATGAATTAGAACATTTAATGTTTGTCCTTCTCCGATTGACTTATTTCACTCAGCATAATACCTGGAGGGTATTATGCTGAGTGTGTCCATTTTTTATGCCAGTACCATACCGCTTCGATTACTGCAGCTTTGTGTATGGTTTGAAATCAGGGGCATAATACCTCCAGTGTTGTTGTTCTTTCTCAAGATTCCTTTGGCTCTTCAGGATCTTTTTGTTGCTTCGTACAGATTTTAGGATTCTTTGCTCCAGTTTTGTGAAAGACGCCTTCAGTATATTGATGGGGATTGCATTGACTCTGTAGTTTGCCTTTGGGTAGTGTGGACATTTAAACAATATAAAGTCTTCCAATCCATGAGCATGATAGATCTTTCCATTTACCTATATTTTCTTCAGTTTCTTTTACCAGTTAACCTCTTTGGTTAAATTTATTCCCAAGTATTTTATTCTTTTTGGTGCAATTGCAAATGGATTATTTTCTTAATTTCTCTTCCCAATAGCTCGTTATTAGTGTGTAGAAACTCAACCGTATGTAAATTTTGTAGTCTGCAGTTCTGCTGCATTAATTTGTTCATTCTAATAGGGGTTTTTTTTTTTGTGGTTGTTGTTGAACATGCTCTGTTTTTAATGATATTGTAGGGAGAAATAGAACATGGTGGTTTTGAAGAATCAGAGTGTGATTTAAGAAGATTCTTTCAAGGGGATCCCTGGGTGGCGCAGCGGTTTGGCGCCTGCCTTTGGCCCGGGGCGCGATCCTGGAGACCCGGGATCGAATCCCACATCGGGCTTCCGGTGCATGGAGCCTGCTTCTCCCTCTGCCTGTGTCTCTGCCTCTCTCTCTCTCTCTGTGACTATCATAAATAAATAAAAATTTAAAAAAAGAAGATTCTTTCAAGAAGCTTAAAGTGAGAGAGAGGTTGCAGCCAGAGGAAAATGATGAAAAAAAAATGGCAAGTAAGCTTCTAAATTTTGTTGAAGCTAATACTAAAATGGTTCTGTTTTCCCAGTGTGTTTAGGGGTTGGGCATTTAGAAGGGGCATAATAGTGATGACAAAGCACTTAGGAAAAGTCATGCTAAGATTCTGAATACTTGCTAGTAAGGGTTTGCTGTAATTTCATCCCACTGAAGGGAAATTAAAACATTATTTTAAAAAAAATAGAAGTTGGTTTAACTGGTAATTAGGAAAATATTTTATTCTCATTCTCTGCATGACAACTTTAAATTGGTGTATAAGGTAGCTCAAGTAAGTAAGGAATGCTTCTTAATATAATTTTTCTTGTTCAGGAGGTCTTTGTTCATGTTTAGTATTAATGTATGATTTGTTTTATCAATATCAGAGTTAAACATAACCCACCACTACCCCATAAATAGGAACAAGACCCAGAATAATGGAGACCTTCACATGAGGAAAAGTGAACTTATAGTTTCCTAGCTGGGTTAATAACATTAATAAAAGTGCATTATTCCTGTCTCACCCCTCCTGTGGCATATATACTAACACCTAAAGTTATTTGTCCTATTTTTTTCTCCCAGCCTTTTTTTTTTTTTTAAGTAAGTTGGCTGACTCTGGAAAATTCTGGAGGTTCCTCAAAGAGTTAAAAATAGATCTGCCCTACGACCCAGCAATTGCACTGCTGGGGATTTACCCCAAAGATACAAATGCAGTGAAACACTGGGACACCTGCACCCCGATGTTTCTAGCAGCAATGTCCACAATAGCCAAACTGTGGACGGAGCCTCAGTGTCCATCGAAGGATGAATGGATAAAGAAGATGTGGTCTATGTATACGATGGGATATTACTCAGCCATTAGAAACGACAAATACCCACCATTTGCTTTGACATGGTTGGAACTGGAGGGTATTATGCTGAGTGAAGTTAAGTCAGTCAGAGAAGGACAATAATCATATGGTTTCACTCATACAGGGAATATAAAAAATAGTGAAAGGGAAAAAAGGGGAAAGGAGAGAAAATGAGCGGGAAATATCAGAGAGGGTGACAGAACATGAGAGACTCCTAACTCTGGGAAACGAACAAGGGGTGATGGAAAGGGAGGTGGGCGGGGGGTGGGGGTGACTGGGTGATGAGCACTGAGGGGGGTACTTGACGGGATGAGCACTGGGTGTTATACTATATGTTAGCAAAGTGAACTCCAATAAAAAAATATACCAATAAATAAATAAGTAAGTTGGCTGTTCACTTTCTATTAGGAGATACTCTCCTAGTAACAGCTTCTGCTATTAAAGTGGTTACAAATTTCAAGCAGGTGAGAACCTTTGTATAGCTTTCTTAGTATTAAAGTTTTTAAATTTCAGTAACTTGACTAGCATTTAGTGTAATTATAGTTTTTAAGTGTTTAAAATGACAAATATTCTTTTTTCCCTTTTAGTTTAAATTCAATTAGCCAACATATAGTACATCATTAGTTTCAGATATGGTTTTCAATAATTCATCAGTTGCATGTAACAAATATTCTTTTGATAGTCATTTTAAAATCAAAGCTCAAAGTTTACAATTATATTAAATATCAAAAGTACCTAAATGATGTTGAATTTATTCTTTTTTTTCTTTCCATCTTTTCCTCCCACTCAGAATTACCTTTTAGAAAATTTTAAATAAAGTTCTTTTGGGGAAAAATGCTACACAAATCTAACTATGGATACAAATATATATGTATATCATTATTGTAAATAGATGTATGTGTATAAATGTGTGTGTTTGCAAATCAGAAAAGTGTTCCTCAGTCACACTTGCAGATGATTTTCAGATGTGTAATAAGCATCTAAGAACATTTTGTAATTCTGTAAATTTATATTACACACATTATAACATTACATTAGAGGTCTAAGATCATTTGGGTCATAGTATCATAGAAGAGTGATCTCTAAACAGACTTTTGTTTTTAAGTAGTCTTCATACCCGAAGCCCAAAGCGGAGCTCAAACTCGGGACCATGAAATCAAGACCTGAGCCAAGATCAAGAGTCGGATGTTCAACCAACTGAGCTACTCAGGTGCCTCAATCTCTAAACAGTTTTGATCTGGCCCGTCATCTGTTAAAAAGTTTTGACTGAAATCCTAATATATGTATATTTATATATTTATAAACTAGACACATATACTATCGTGCTATAATTATGAATGTTATAATGCCTATGCAAAAAAATTAAATAAGTAAATCTTTTCTTCCCATATTTCAGTGAAGAAAAGTGTCCACAGTTTTTAATATGAGTTCTCACTATATTTACCACTTAAACACTGATGGACTTCCTTGCTCTCTTATCTTTAACCATTATCCTGCAAAGCTGCAACCACAGATCCAACTACTGCTTTCTCCAGTCCTATACCTGGTCTGTCGTGGAAGGACCACACCCTGCAGATAGCATTTGACGTCAGCTGCCCCTTAAATACTACTTGGAAATCCTACTACATGGCCCTAGTAGTTCTCAAACCTTTTAGTCTCAAGACTCTTTTATACTCCTACAGATAACTGAGGACCCCAAAGAACTATTGTCCATGTGAGTTAAACCCAGTGATATCTGCTATATTACATAAGAAAACTAAGAAAAATTTAAAATATTTAATTCAGCTAGAATAATAAATTCAAAACATGTTAAAGAGATATAATATCCTTTTAATTAAAAAACAACAATTTTTCCAAAACAAGAGAAATTAAAAAGAATGGCATGTTTTACATTTTTGAAAATTTCTTTCAAAACTAAAACTGTACTAGGAGTCATTATATTCTTCACTGCCTCACACTCAGTTAAAGAAATTAAAGCCAGTAAAAAATGTTAATTTTATTAAATCCTGACTCATAATTGTACATCTTCTTAATATCCTGTATGATGGAATGGGATGTAGGCATAAGCACTTGTTTTGCACACAGGAGTAGTGTTGTCTCAAGGAAAAGGAGTTGTGCATTTGTCAAGTTGCAAGAGGAACTAGTTCCTCTTTTATGGACACCAACTTTACTTGAAAGAACAACTGACAAACTAAAGTAACTCATTTGGAAAATAAAGCGAGCCTGTCACTTCAAGGAAAACAAATGACAGCATTTGTTGCCAATATGACAAAATTAGAGCTTTCTTTTTTTAAAAAAAGATTTTATTTATTTATTCATGAGAAACACAGAGGCAGAGACACAGGCAGAAGGAGAAGCAGCCTCCATGTGGCGAGGTGGATGTGGGACTCGATCCCAGAACCCCAGGATCACATTCTGAGCCAAAGGCAGATGCTCAGCCACTGAGCCACCCAGGCATCCCAAAATTAGAGCTTTCAAGTCAGAATCAGAATTTTGGAAAACCCATATTCTTTACTGTGAGTCTCACAGTAAGACTTCTCTGATGAGATTGTTGGTGATAATAGTGTGATTTTTTGATATTGTAGTGATTTGAAATGTGTTTACATTGGGAAGAACTCCATAACTTAGGAAACCACTATTGTCCAGATGAGAAATGTGATGTTACAAGATCCATTCAAGGTGCAGGATAGACCAGTGGATTTCACAGTAACAGTATGAAAAATTCTTTGATATGGTTTTCAAATTCTGCATTGCAACTAATCTTTAAGAAACCACACTTGTTGAGTTTTAGTGTAACAACAAAGAATATACAGTTCTCTGAAAAGACCGCATTTCTTTGTGAGGCTGAACCATCTTCGTATACTTCAACTACATTAACATATTGCAGTAGTTTGAATGCAGAGGCAGATCTTCTGTTAAGACCAGACATTAAAGAAATTTTCAAAAATGTAAAACATGCCATTCTTCTTAATTTCTCTTGTTTTGGAAAAATTGTTGTTTTTTAATTAAAAGGATATTATATCTCTTTAACATGTTTTAGATTTATTATTCTAGCTGAATTAAATATTTTAAATTTTTCTTAGTTTTCTTATGTAATATAGCAGATATCACTGGGTTTAACTCACATGGACAATAGTTCTTTGGGATCCTCAGTTATCTGTAGGAGTACAAAAGAGTCTTGAGACTAAAAGGTTTGAGAACTATTAGGGCCATGTAGTAGGATTTCCAAGTAGTATTTAAGGGGCAGCTGACGTCAAATACTATCTGCAGGGTGTGGTCCTTCCACGATAGACAGGGTATAGGACTGAAGAAAGCAGTAGTTGGATCTGTGATTGCAGCTTTGCAGGGTAATGGTTAAAGATAAGACAGCAAGGAAGTAGGAGTTTGGGCAAAACATGAATTGATCTACAATGGAGTCATGGCTGCACTGGAAGAAAAGTGAGTCCAAGAGGATGCTACTGGGTGTGGACATTAAGAAGGAGTCTGAAGACCAGATCACAATAAAGTTAGCTAATGAGTGGACAGAGAAAACTGTAAGGATAAGGAAATCGACAAGCTGTGTGGTGAAAGTATGCAGAAGTAAGTAGAGTCAGCCCTCATTTTGCAGGCTAGGAGACTAAGGTGCAGTGACCTGGCTGCCCTGCCTGAGTGCTAGGACTAATACTTGAGTTCAGGTGTTAAAATGCAGAGTTGGCCGGCCAACTCTTTATGCTGTATGTGGTGTGACTGGCCGACTTTCTTTTATGAATGTGAAGTAAGTAGTGTATAAAAAAAGAAGTGACAGTATTTTTATTATTTAAATTTTTTAAAAGGAAACATTTTTTAAAAACATACATTTTTACCTTTCTGATCTAATGCAGGTTTCTAAAGTATTAGAGGAGTTTGATGTTGAAGAGCAACCGAAAACCATTTAGAAAATCACTTTTCCAACATTAAGGTTATAAAATCCGAAGTAAAGCAACTGAAGAGTAAAGAACACGTAAGAGGATTTTATTTCTTAATGACTGTCCAGTGTTCAATCTTTTTTTTTTCCACTGTTCAATCTTGATGAGTTTTCACCTGCTTTCTTTTGACCCCATCTGTACCCCCACCATGGCCAAGGGCCCTAGCATATAAAGTTTAGTAACATTGATTTGTATTATTACTGGAAAAACTTACACTTCTTGTGAGTTTATTGGGATTATATAATTAGTTTGATTTAGCATTTTAGGTTTTACATTTCACATAGGCATTAACTTTTGTATGGTGTCTACTTTGTTCTGGGCACCACATTAAGTGCTGGCTTATGGCAGGAACATTACAGTGAATCTGCCCTGGGAGCTCCCAGTGTCATGGGGAATACACACATGCACACGTATGATAATAGGGACATGCAAAGCACAGTCGTTGAACTCTTATCAAAGGGCTGAAAAGCGGGATTTGGGAGGACTTCACAGAGGGAGTAATGTTTGAACAGGTTTAAAAGGTGAGTGAAATAAGAGTTCTTAATTAGGGGCATTGTAGGAAAGAAAAGGAGGTTGCTTATTCAAAGGCTGAAAGCAAAGGAAAGGGGCATATGGAAGAGTGACGCTGTCAGAGAGACTCTGGGTAGGGAGAAGGAAAGGAGATGGGCAGATGAGGCCAAACAAATAGGGCTGCAAAGAGCTGTTTGCATCATGCCAGGAAATTCACTTATCATCAGTGGAGGCAGAGTGATGATATACTGTCCTAGGAAGGCAGATCTGATAACAGTGTTGAAGATAAGGTGGTGTGAGTGTCTTGTGGCCAGCAATCAGATCAGAAGGTGGCTGCAGTGATCCAGGATGGTAGAAGGCCTGAACTAAGGGACAGTGTAATGGGAAAGAACAGCCCAGATATGAGTGACATTTCCGCTATAAACTCAGAGGACCCAGTAACCCACTGGATGTGGGAATGCAGACAGCAGGCTCAGGAAAGGGTGTTGTTGAGTGATCAGCAGTATCCTCAGATGAGCCTCAGGTAAGATGAGCAGTAGAGTTGCAGTTGTTTCTCTAAAGCAGCTCTAATTCGTGAGTTCTCCCTTAGGGAGAAAACACACATATAGCACATTCAAAACAAGTAATTTGATGGAAAAAAATAAATAAGAAAAAGTACTGAATTTTATGAGAAAAAAATAAAAAATCTGAATCCCAAAACCAGAATGAATCCTAATGTTTACAGTAGTATATATCCCATATAACATCTGTGTCAGTTAATTTGCAAAGAGAGGTATGCTCAAATGTATACTAATAAATTGTGAGGGAATTTTTATTGGGGCATTTGAATAAATCAGAGTGCCTCCCATTACTATTTAAAGTGTCCTAAACGAGATCATGTTTGTATTCTCTTATCTATCCTTTATATTCTTTGATGAATTAGATATTATGTGTTTTATCTTCATGTCTACTTCCAAAAATTTAACAGTAGCCAATGAAAAGAGTTCTTGTGTTTGTTTTTACAGTAGCTAAGTGCAAATTACTTTTTAAATTTGGTCAACATCTCAGAACATGAGAGACTCCTAACTCTGGGAAACGAACAAGGAGTAGTGGAAGGGGAGGTGGGCGGGGGGAATGGGGTGACTGGGTGACGGGCACTGAGGGGGGCACTTGACAGGATGAGCACTGGGTATTATACTATATGTTGGCAAATTGAACTCCAATAAAAATATACAAAAATAAATAAATTTGGTCAGTATCTATAACTGCTGTTTGTCAGATAAAATTCTAACCATATTATCGATAGGAAGACTTGTATAAATTTTTTATATGCATTATGCTGTGTGGAATTATTAGCTTTATGTATTTGCTATGCATTTGGAGAGTTAAATGGGTAACAAATGTCTCAGTAGTTATGAAGTGCTACAGTTAAAATTTGCCATGTTTTACAAATCAAACACAGGGGACAATGTTAACTTCTAAACCACTATAGCAAAGTCTGGCATCTCTCATACTCATATGTACTTGTTACATATATGTGCTTTCTAAAGGCTGCTACTTAGATGTAGGTTTTCATTCAATATTAAGGAACAAAAACAATGGATCTCAGATATGCAGTTTTAGACTCAATGATGTCATTAAATATTGATATGAATAATTTAGCCAATAGATGCTCGGATTTAAGGTTAACACGTTTTTCACTTATATGAAAATATCTCCAAAGAGCATGTTTGCCAGGAAAGTGATTGTTATTTGTACTTAAGAATATAAATACTGTTTTTAGCGATTCTAATGTTTTTATATAATGTTCCCTTTTCTACCACACTCTACTCCCTGTTACCCTTACCAGCTATTAAAGTATAATATTAGAATTACTAGATCTTCCTATAGTTACTTCTGCTGAGATCAGAAAAACTCATTAAGGCCTGCCCCACATATAAAATATGATCAGAATGCTCAATTTTAAAATTTCCCATCGAAAGATGAATGGATAAAGAAGATGTGGTTTATGTATACAATGGAATATTCCTCAGCCATTAGAAACGACAAATACCCACCATTTGCTTCAACGTGGATGGAACTGGAGGGTATTATGCTGAGTGAAGTAAGTCAATCGGAGAAGGACAAACAGTGTATGTTCTCATTCATTTGGGGAATATGAATAATAGTGAAGGGGAATATAAGGGAAGGGAGAAGAAATGTGTGGGAGATATCAGAAAGGGACACAGAACATAAAGACTTCCAACTCTGGGAAATGAACTAGGGGTGGTGGAAGGGGAGGAGGGCGGGGGGTGGGGGTGAATGGGTGACGGGCATGGAGGGGGACACTTGACGGGATGAGCACTGGGTGTTATTCTGTATGTTGGTAAATTGAACACCAATAAAAATTAATTTATTAAAAAAAAATAAAATAAAATAAAATTTCCGAATGTTTAGTTTTTAGCCTGAGGTCAACATACCTTCCTAAATATCATGAAATTCCCTAAGTTTTATGCAAAATTCTGATATGAATGTACCTTTTTTCTCAGGGAAGAAAGACTTCTTGTAACCAGATTCCCAGAATGGTTCATGGCCCTAAAATGATGGTTGATCACTGGACTGGAGACTGCATTCTCATGTTTACTTTGATTTGCAATCACTGTAGCAAAGTATTGAGTGCCACCAAGAGGCAACCTTAATGTATTTTTTGCTTTCATCTTAATGAATTTTTTACTTAAAATGAAATTGTACCTACCCATGGATAAATGTTTCTCCCCTCCCCTTCCTTGCTCTGTGTTTTTACAGTGCATTTTAACAGGAGATGGCAGTCAGCATGTGTATAAGAAACTGTCTGTGTGCTGGAGCTAAACCAAAGTTGATATGTAAAGGAAATCCTTAGGTATTAGGAATCCGTGATACAGACAGTGCTCAGGTAACATTCTGGGGTTGGGTCATAGGAAAGGAACATGAATATTTCTTAGATTTTTCTATATTTGAATCAAAGTATCCACTTACACATTAATTATTAAATTATAGAAGAGTTTGTTTTATGATCCATAAACCAGATTATAGTTATGTTATTGCCAGTTTCAGTTTAGCTTTGGTTGATAATTTTTTTTTTTTTTAGTTCATGCTGCTGTTCTGTGTTTTTCCATTGTGCAATGTATCCCAGATAAAATGACTAAGCTGAAGGTTATAACTTAAATTATACATATGTTTATTATTGTACTTTGGGAATATGTGATTTGCAACCTAAATAATGTAGCAGTCTTTTTGCAAAAACATAAAGTGTATCCCAAACTTGAACTTACCCCTTAGCAAGATTTGAGGTACAGAATCATGATAGAATCCCAGAACGGAAAAATTCATTTGGTTTATTGTTCTGCTCAGGAATAAACAGTAATAAACTATCCCAAAAATGTGAGTCTGTGGAACCCTATACAACTTCTTCTGGTAAGGGATTTCAGGGCTTCAGGCTTCATTGACCCTTCTTTCCAAGAAGCTCTTCCTGGTTTCATAATATTCTGTCTTACAGCTCAAGCTCATTGTTGTGGTTCTGTCCCATAGGGTGATCATTTTACATTTATTAATAAAAATATTTTATATTCTTAAAAACTGATGTTTTCTTTTAGTGTATTCTTAATTAAATAAGAATTTAGAGAAAAGTAGAAAAATCATAAATTTTAATTATAATTGTAAACATTTCAGGATCCTTTTATCAAAGATTGAGTTCATAACTGTGTTCCAGCTAGACCCTCTAAATACAAGAGCTCGCTGACTGCTTATGATAATCCTGTGACAGTATTACTCCCACTTTACAAATACGAAACTCTGATAGAGAAATTAATTTTTTACCTATACTAAAATAGTTACTAAGTTTATCAGAAGTTCAATTTAAACTCATGTCATTTATCTCCATGTCCAATGCTTTTAACAGATCTTTCTTAAATTATTTACTGTTGTCAGTGAAGGACAAACTAAAATTAACTTCAGGGTCTTTTTCTTATAGAAGTTTTAAAAAGTCAGTTTCAGTAGTTATTTATCGACTATTAAAAGTTTTTGGATGAATGTAATAGCAATGGTAACTTGACATAGTAGGAAGAGGAATTTAGCTATTCATAGGTCATCCTGAAGCATTCAAATGTGCCATAAAAATAACCAAGGCATCCCTAAGCTCGTTGTGATCTTTTTTAGGGGGCAGAAGAGGAAGGTGGTAGAGACATCAATTAGTTGTCTTATAATAATAAGAACATAACATTATTTTCTGATAAATGTTAGACACTATTGTGTCCTCTCCTAATAGTTTTATTTGTATTATCTTAATGCTTACAAACACTTAATGAGATCAAGTCACTTCTTGTTTCCATTTAAAGTTGCAGAACCCGAGGCAACTTGCCCAAGTTACTAACTCCTAGAGCAGGGACTCTTCCTGCAAGTTTTGAGTGTTGAGTGACTCCAGGGAAAGTGCCAACTAACGAAAAGGAATAACTCTGTATGCAGGATACAAATCAATGTCCTGTTAGTAAATTGATCTGATCAAGTAGTTGGGAATGTGATGGACTAGACATCTTGCCTCTTGCTGAAATTTGGAACTACTCTAAATGTAATGACCTAAGAGGCAAGGAAAATCAGGAGAGGCATGGCTCTGAAAGCAGCTTGGATGAAACAGCACTTGTAATATTGGGAGGGTGTGTCCTGCAGAGTGGGAAAATGAGATTTATTTTGTTCCTTCGTAAATTGGGTAAAATTCTTATATTTTAAGAATATTATCAGTGAGGCCTCTTGCTTCACATTTTTCCCACTATTTACAAAACTGTCTCCTTTTCTCTTTAACACAGGAATTTCAGAAACAGCTTACTAAAGCTAAAAGAATAATGATCATAGGGAATGGCGGCATTGCACTTGAACTGGTTAAGTATATATTTTTAAATACTATTTAAACACTGCTCTATGATTTATGTGATTGGCAAACTAGAAAACATCTTGGTATTCTGAAATTCAAAGATAAATGTAATTGTTTTTCATATATTTTCAAGGAAAATATCGACTGTATTTTTAGTTTTCATGGAATTCATAGTTGCAGAAATGTCATTGTAAAACATGAGTTCAGGAAATATTTTATGTCTCAAGGGTCATACACAGGTGACTAGATAGATGTAACCCATAGATGTGTTTGTTAATAAGCAAGTACTATATTGAAAAACAATTTCAATATGCACACTTTTAGAGATTTCTAGTCACAGCCCCCACCACTTTTTATTGTTTATACCCATCCTGCTTCACTCATATGGTTACCCATCTGGCCCATGACTCCGTTTCAAGATATGTGGTACTCCAGCTCTTGGTTTTTAGAAGTTGAAACTTTGATGCAGGAGCAGCTGAGTTCTTAACTTCAGAGCTCATTGCTGAAAAACCAGAGGCTAGAATTGTACATAAAACAACCAGATATACAATTGAAGGTATAGCATCTGGTTCATTAATTCACAAATGAAATTGTTTAGTTTTATATAGAAAAAAGCTATAAAAAAACACTGAGCAAAATATTATAGCTGGGGGAGATGAAATATAGATATTTATTTGCATATCTTATATGACTTAGATTTTCTAGGGTTTTTATTTTTTTGCATGAAAAATATGTATAATTAAAATTGGAAATTTAGTGAATTTGCACCTTTGCAAACATGCTACAGTTGGACAGCGCTTAATTTTACAGAAAATGCAAGTGAGTTAAAAAAGAAATACAAACCTCATTTATTTTTTTTAAACCTCATTTATTTTTTAAACCAATTTTTAAAAAGTTTTTATTTATTCGTTTGAGACAGAGAGAGAGCATGAGCCAGGGGAGAGGCAAAGGGAGGAGAAACAGACTCCTTGTTGCCCTGTGCTGTGCCAGGAGCCTAAAACAGGGCTCCATCCCAGGACCAGATTATGACCTGAGCCAAAAGCAGACACTTAACCATCTTAGCAACCCAGGTACCCCTCAGTTTTTTATTTTATTTTATTTTATTTTTATTTATTTTATTAAGATTTTTTATTTATTTATGATAGAGAGAGAGAGAGAGGGGCAGAGACACAGGCAGAGAGAGAAGCAGGCTCCACGCAGGAGCCCAACACGGGACTTGATCCCGGGACTCCAGGATCGCGCCCTGGGCCGAAGGCAGGTGCCAAACCACTGACCCACCCAGGGATCCCCTCAGTTTTTTATTTTAAAAGAGCTTTTTGTTTAACATTTACCCTATAAAATTTTAAAAGTATTGTGTAAGTTTTGAGGGTGCTAAAAGTTGACAAAATGTTAAAAGATTTGGTGGCTAATTTTTTTATTTAATTACAATTGACATACATTATATTAGTTTCAGGTATACAATAGTGATTGAATATTTTTATACATTATGATGCGGTCATCTCAGTAGGCTTGATTACCACTCTGTCACTGTGCAAACCTATTACAGTATTTTTTTTAAGATTTTATTTATTTATTCATGAGAGACACAGAGAGAGAGGCAGAGACACAGGCAGAGGGAGAAGCAGGCTCCATGCAGGGAGCCCAATGCGGGACTTGATGCCAGGACTCCAAGATCACACCCCTAGCCAAAGGCAGAAGCCCAACCACTGAGCCCCTGTGCAAACTTATTACAGTATTGACTGTATTCCCTGTGATGCACTTTACAGCCCTGTGACTTACTTATAACTGGAAGTTCGTAAATCTTACTCGTGTTCACTTGTTTTGCTTGCAGGCCAGTGGCTCCCCTGTGGCAACCACCAGTTCTCTATATCTGAGCCTGTTTCTGTTTTGTTTTACTTACTTATTTTGTTGTTTTTAAGTATTTTTTCTAGTTTAACTTACATGTATTTAAAATAATTTTACTGTAGTTAACATACAGTGTTATATTAGTTTCAGGTATACAATATAGTGATTCAAGAATTCAATAATTATTCAGTGCTCATCAAGATAAATATATCCTTAACCCCCTTTATTTCACCCTTCCCCCTACCCACCTCCCCTCTGGCAATCAACAGTTCTCTGAATTTAAGAGTCTAGTTTTTTGTCTCCTTGTTTTGTTCCTTAAATTCCACATGAGTAAAATCATATAGTACTTGTCTTTCTCTGTCTGACTTAAATTTCACATAGCATAAAAGCCTCTAGGTCATCCATGTGTAGCAATGGCAAGCTCCTACTCTTTTTTATGGCTGAGTAATATTCCTGTGTGTGCTATATATATATATATATATATATATATATATATCACACACACACTACACACCACATCCTCTTTACTCATCTATGAACGGACACTTGGATTGCTTCCATATCTTGCCTGTTATAAATGATGCTACAGTTAACATAGGGGTGAATATATCTTTTTGAATTAGTGTTTTTGTTTTCTTTGGATAAGTACTCAGTAGTGGAGTTATGGAATCATATGATAATTCTAATAATTTTTTGAGGAACGACCATACTGTTTTTCACAGTGTCTGTACCAATTTGCATTCCCACCAGCAGTGCATGAGGGATCTTGTTTCTCCATACTCTTGCCAACACTTGTCATTTCTTATCCTTTTTGTTCTCGCCATTCTGACAGGTATAAGGTAATACCTCATTGTGGTTTTGACTTCTCTGATGATAATTAGTGATGTTGAGAATCTTTTCATGTATCTATTACCATCTGTATGTCTTTGGGAAAATACCGGTCAGGTCCTCTCCCCATTTTTAATTTTGGTTGTTTTGTTTTGTTGTTAGTGAGTTGTAGGAGTACTTTATATATTTTAGATATCAACCTTTTATCAGACAGATCTTACCTTTCATATTAACCATGTATATAACATCCAAAAAACACATTATGTTTACACTCAACTCTTGATTAAAAGATCCATTTTATATCTGTATCACAAAATATTAAAATGAAGTGATCAAAACATGTAACTCAGCATGCTGCATATACATGTATGAGAATCATAATATTGCCTAAAAGCTTGAGAACACAAGCATACTTCTTGCCTTGCAGTTTTTAGATTATTTGAATTTTGAATTGAGTTTATCTCTTTAGAAGGAAAAAAGAAGCACAGAACAAAGCTGATGCTGGTAATATGGGCAGTACCTTGGGACCAGATTGGCATAAAGGCTTGAATCTTAAAGGTACAAAAGAGGTATGTGTTCATGTACTAATTAAACATGTTTAAGATGCGGGACACCTGGGTGGCTCAGCAGCTGAGCATCTGCCTTCGGCTCAGGGTGTGATCCCGGGGTCCCAGGATTGAGTCCCACATGGGCTTCTTGCGTGGAGCCTGCTTCTTCCTCTGCCTCTCTCTCTCTCTCTCATATGAATAAATAAATAAAATCTTAAAAAAAAAAAAACATGTTTAAGATGCAATTTTAAATTCTTAAACCATTCATTGAAGACTGATTACAAGTAAGTCAAATAATTGTTAGGTTACTCTATTTAAAATCCAAAGCGCTAGGATAGACAGGACCAATGGCACTTGGCCCAGTTACTAAAGATAAGTTGAGTACTTAGTTCATCTAAAACGGACTCTTGCCCCAGAGAGATTTTTAATTTCTCAGGCAGAGAGATTTCCAGACCTACAGTGAATATAGCTGTCTTATCTTTTAATCTTTTCTCAAAGGTCACTTCATATGCATTATGATATTTGGTTATTGGATGAATTCTAAATAAAATACATATTTAACACCCTAATTGGATAAGCAGATGACTTGCTTTTACTCATTTATTAGATATTGGTTTTTAAATAGTTGTTAAAGGGCTGTGATATTTAAATACTTTAAGGAGCATACATGGAGTCCTTATTACTATGTATGATTTATTTTCAGCCTTGGATGGTTTGGAGGGGAGCTGGCTTCATGGCAGATCTAATTTTTGTGATAGGAATTATACAAAATCATTTCTTCCTGCACTTTCAGATCCAAAGATTAATATTATTTTTAATCTGAGAACTTAAGCAGTTTGGTTCAGTAAACATTATCTTTTACGTACTTGGCACTTTACTAAGGTTCTGGAATGTAACAGTAAGTGGGCATGGACCTGCCCTCAAGAGGTTTTTATAGTCTCTAGCAGTTTAATTTTTTAAAAACTATAATTATCAGTGAGGCTTATATTCATATTATTTATATTTTAAATCATGCCCTTGATGTTACCTGCTAATACAACTAGTTGTTCTCTTAAGCTCTGAATGGATTTCTGCTCTCTCCCTTCATGCATAGAAATTGAGAGGCTTATTTTGGAGCATCCAATGTGTTTTCATTTATATTGTAAGAATTATTTTTTTCTTTATGTTTCTGTAAGTGTATTGTAATTTTGGGGAGAAGTATTATGGTAACTAGTATTTCTTTTAGTTTTCTCATAAGATTCGCATTGAAACTATGTGTGAAGTAAAATCTACCTTAAGGAAGAATTTGGAATTTCTAAGAAAAAGTCTTTACTTTTTCCCCAAAGACCATTATAATCAGTCACAACTGATAAAGGCAAGTAATAAAATAAGAAAAAATACAATACCACCAATTTAAAAGGAAGAAAACTTAATCTTACTGTATTAAAAAGGTAAATTTCCATATGAAATTTAAACATAAAAAGTAAAAATGAAACCATTACTTAATATAAGTCATTTCATTTTCATTGCTTATTAGTCTTCACAGTCTTTTTTTTTTTAAAGAATCTTTTTTTTTTTAATTTTTATTTATTTATGATAGTCACACAGAGAGAGAGAGAGAGAGAGGCAGAGACATAGGCAGAGGGAGAAGCAGGCTCCATGCACCGGGAGCCTGATGTGGGATTTGATCCTGGGTCTCCAGGATCGTGCCCTGGGCCAAAGGCAGGCACTAAACCGCTGCACCACCCAGGGATCCCTAGTCTTCACAGTCTTGATCATTTGTATTCAGCTTTACATTTTACATGGGGCTCATGGTGCTATGACCACCACAGTTCTGTGAGTCAATCACAATATCTTGCAGATCAAAACAAATACAAACTAAAAAAATCCTTTATGCTCTCAGAGGTGAAGTGACTTCCCCCAAATCCAACAGATTAAAAAGCCTATAAATTTGGGATTTAGAAACAGATCTAATCCTTATTCCACACTTCTTTTGAGAACTACCACCATTTGAAGAAATACGCTCAGCCAAACCAGCGAATGAGATAGTCCACTGTTTTTGGATTCATTGAATTTTCCATGGGAAAAAGTAGTGTTAGAGTTTGAATATGAATAGTAGGAAAACATTGAAAAGTGAGTTATCTGTTTGGACTAAACTCTCAGTGGAGTGTAATTGTTTAATATCTTTGAAGACATAATTTATAAAGTGATTATCAGTTTAAATTCACTTTGTTAGAAGTTCTTTGAATTTGAAGGAAAATGTTTAGAATGCCATAATTGTGTAAGTATACCCAAAATAAGGAGAGTGTTGATTGCCTAATAATTATTTAAGCAAATGTGCCTTATAAAAATTAAGAGGTCCGCTTTAAATTCCTCTCCTGCCTTTTTCTTTCTAGGCATTATATTCACATAATGCTAATGATAGCTGGTGGGGATTTCATTTAAAAAATAAAGTTGGGTTAGTTTGTTTCTTTTAATGAGGTATGGCCTGTATATGTGGAATTGACTACTGAAAAGATATATGGCTGTGATTTCATTGTCAGTGCTACAGGATTTATACCAAATATAGACCTTTTTCTCTGTGGCAACAATGTAAGGTGAAATTTTTTGTCCTGCTATGAATATTTTTAAAGTAGTATGAGATTCCTGATTCTCAAGCCTAAATGTTCATTATTTTAGTGTAAAACTATCTTAAGGAAGCTGAAAACAATTTAGTTTACATTCATGTTTTGATATGCAGTATTTCATATTGCCTACAGTCCGTAAGCAGTTAACATCCCAGCAGTAAGAATCCTCCTTAATGGGACATAATGCACAACTCATTTGTCTAAAGGTTGATGAATTCTTACAAATGATTCTTTTAAAGAAACTATCTGGTATTTTCTGCCTTTTAGCACTTGAAACTCACAAAACTGAGAAATACTGTTGTTATGAGTGGGGTGTGTCATATGGTTTACTGAGTGTTCTTGATGAAAGTCTAAGAATTTTTTTAGTTGGTCTGTCCTAGATATTCTCTAGAGATGCAGCGGAGATGTCTTTGCGGCTGTTTTCTACTTTCTCACTACATATCAGCATACCAAGGTGTAAAAATTTGACTTGTTCTTTTACTTGAGAATGAAGACGACATCTTTCATTTTTCTTCTCACATATGCTTATCAGGAACATTGTTTAGTTTGATCTAGGAGAAGATGGTGGCCTGAAAGCGGATGCTCACATGCACACGTCTGTTTCTGATGTCCATGCTGTGGGTGACATCTGCACTGCATCCTGGCCGCCCAGCCCAGCCTGGCAGTAGGTGAGCCAGCATCCATGATCACGCCTTTTTATCAGATTCTGTCTGACAGTGACGGAGTTGCTAGCAGCAAGTGCAATTTCCTGGTTTTTCCCACTTTGCTACTTTAAGTAGGAAGCTATCATTGAGTTTTTTGTGACATTTTAAAAACAGAATTTTTCCCCTTTGGTAAGTTATTCTAAAGTGATGGAACAGACTTGGATGTCTTGTGATTTAAAAGGAATTATGGGCTATTACTTTGTTTTTTTGTCTTCAAATACTTTGATCACTGTCCGTGGAACTTTATGTGACGACAGAAACGTTCTGTGCTTTTGCTGTATCCAGTCAGGTAGCCACTAGCCACAGGTCTCTGCTGAGCACTTAAAATGTGCTGAGTGTGACTGAGGAACTGAATTTTATTTACATTTAAGTTTCAATAGCTCCATGTGTTTAGTGGCTACCAGACCGAACAGTGCAGCTTTAGATGAATAACTAACTGTATGGATGGATGATGACCCTATGCGATTCTGAGGACCCAGTTCTGTTCCTGTGGGAATTATGACTGAAAAAACTTCCTAGAGTGAACACCATTCCTCAGCTGAACAGCTCTGTCCGACCGGGTGGCCACTTCCTCCTGCCCTCAGTGCTGCCGGCCTCCCCATGGCAGAGCAGAAGTCCTTAAAGACAATGCTTAGGCCATGACCGTAGGTGAGGTGGTCTTAGGAAGAGTAGAGACACAGGTAAATACCACGGATAAAGCAGCCAGCCAACACTCGGTGAGAGACCAGCTCCAGAGGTGGGGGTTTTAGTTCCTCAGATTAACTATGGAGTGTGAAGTAGCAGAAGAGCTAGATGTATTTTAAGAGGCAGCTTCAGTTCTCTGTATATTTTTACATACAGCAGAGATAACAATCATAGGAAGAGTACTTTCAGCCTGTTTCTAAACTACCAGCTTGTTTTCAGTTTCCTCTGCAATCATTCTCTGTCACTTCTGTGGCAATCTGTCATCAATTCTCAATTAGGAACTAGAGTTTGTAGGATTTTTAACATTTTAAACTTTGTAGGAAAATTTTATCTTTAATTGGTGTAATAGTCTGCTATAAGCAATATCCACAAATAAACAGGTGTCTTTTGCTTGAGTGAATCTAATAGACCTTGAAATAATAAATAAGTACAAAAATTAGTTTTATGTGATCCAAGACCCAAACTGGAAGGACCCTGAGGCTAGTATACATTAACTAACAGTCCAGCAGTGTGATATTGAAGGCTGCCTCCACTAGCCAAGCCATTCTCAAGCATTGTGCTCAGTTTGCTCTGCTCCCTTACCACACACACTCCCTTTCACTTCATCAAACCTATCTTGTTTACACAGGAGACTGAATTAAAAAAAAAAATTTATCAGGGCACCTGGGTGGCTCAGTAGGTTAAGCATCACACACTTGATTCACCTCAAGGTCATGATCTCAGGGTCATGGGATCAAGCTCCATGATGGGCTCTGTGCTGGGTGTTGAACCTGCTTAGGATTCTCTCTCCCTCTGCCCCTCTTTGCTTGCATGCTTTCTCTCTCTTTAAAAAAAAAAACAATCACTTCTACCAGAAATGCCTAAAAATCACATCCATGATTGTGGTGGTATTTTTGCACATAAAAGGACATTAGTTACACACAGGGATATAAGGAAAACTAATTGTTTAGTGTAGGTTAGCTTATTTAATTCTCTCAATAGCCATGGAATAGGTGATATACCTTTATGTTTTCAAGTGAAGGATTCAAGGGTCAGTTAATTAAATAGAAATATGTACAAGAGTTGGTATTTAAATTTCTGGACCCCCAAGGCAAGTGTTCTGTTCTCAGGTCTTTGTAGAAATACAGTAAAAATACAGTAGAGGAGAGAAATTACTAATGTTGTAAGGAAAGAATTTAAAATGAATTCCCAGCATTGGTTGCTGAAATCAGGTATGATATCCTGAGGCCGGACATCACATATTATATTGATCTACCTGACCACTGAGGTTTAACTGCATGGGAGGCCCTAACTAGCACAAAAAAAAAAAAGGATTAGGAAAAGGAATGAATTTTTCAGTGATAATTTGTCATCTCTACTTCATGCTGATGATGAACTTTGAAAGAGGAGACTGGTTAATTAATAGTATGCTTACCTTAGTGTAATCTGAAATATTTTAATTATTTTTAATGGAGAGTGTATTGAAACATAGAGCTGGTATCATCCTTTAATTTTAAAGGCAGTAATTTGGATAGAATTATCAGATACCAAAATCAGTCTGGTTAGTGTAGATTGATGATTGTTTCTATGGCAAAGACAATCCAACTAGTCATCAAGCTCACTAGAGCTCACTAGCCAATCTAAAGGACTGTCAGTATTGAACCCCTTTAAGGAATTTTGGAAGGTTAAGGTGCTAGCATTTTTTAAGTAAGAACAATGAAAAAAATACCTTATAACATGCTTTTCTTTCAGATGAGGCTGTGGACCCAGGCTAGACATATGGGATGATATGCAGCGAAGCGCACGGCTGCAGCTGGTTTAGAAGAATCTATTGACATGAACTTCAGCTTTGAACTTTTTACTTAAGTAACAAAATTTAACTATAAGGTAAGCTAGATAAGCAAATTAGTGACCTTTTCTGCTTGTTACTCTTATAACTAATTATCTGATCTTTCTCATTGAATAAGAATTTACATGGTTTTCATCATTTTAGAAAAAAATCACGTTTTCTCAGTTCTTGCAAATCAATTATTGCTACTCTTAATTCCTAATCATTAACTACCGTCCTGCTATACTGTTGTATAGTAAAGGGAAAAAGAATCTCTTTCAGATTTGTTGAAAATCCTTCTTGGCACATTTCTACATTTATTTGAGATTAAATCTTGCTTTGTGAGGGGGATAGCTATCATACTCAAGAATGAACCAGGTACTTTGCCATATGTATTATTTACTCCTCTTTACTCTGAATCAAGTTTATTCTTCATCATTTACTCATGAGGAAGAACATACACAAGATTTAAGAAAATTAATTTGCTCATGAAAGATCTAATTCTATTCCTTATTAAATCTTTAATTCATTGACTCTAGGCTAATGTAGTCCAGATCCTACATATTTAATTCACTAGGTATTTTTAATGATCATATAGATTGTGTGGTGGTGTCATCTATACAATAAATGCAGCGTCATTCAAATGTTTTATTTGTGACCCTCTCCGGTGACACTTAGCTGTAAAATTTTATGAATATATTTTTGTGCTGGCCATTCTAGAAATAATACAGTGTTAACTGCTTATCATGTTTCCTTTTTAGTACTCACTAGAGGAACTTTATCATCTCTGTATATAGGTTGTATTGCAGGGAAAATATAACACACAGGGCTTAGATTCAGAACCTGGACTAATGCTGAGATGTACTGAAGGACAAAAATATGTCAAAGTCATCATTGCAGAATGGGCAAATTTAATTGGTGAAACTGATTTAGAAGAAACATTTGAAAACTTAATTTTAGAGTCTTTCATCATATGGAGAAGATTTGCTAGATCCAAATACTGATTTAGACGATTATATAGTTCTTGAAATGCCTTTTTTAATCAAAATGAAGTTTCAAATAACATAAAGTCACAATAAGGTAAATGCACTGATTTAATGAAGTAAGAATACAGAAGTGATAATGATTTCAGAAGAGTGTATTAAAATATTTTTTTAAATGCAAAGATCAAATAATTTACAAATACGTTTTTCCAACACAAAACTGACCACATATGTAAATGTTATTCCTGATTTAGCTTTGGAGCAGATTTAGCTAGGTTGTTATCTCCTTAACAACAACTTGGGTCTGATATGCCAGGATCATTCTTTGATTATGAGATGTCAACGAGGGTTAATAGTTTGCTAATATCCTTTGTATTGATACCTTAATTCCTTTTACATTTGGATTCTACAGCTGTTATGAGCTGAAATCATTTCCTTTCTGTGATAAGCCTGTGTAAAATATTCCGTAAAATAACACTGCTATCAAAAGAAAATATCCCTTGACATACCTAATTTTGAAGAGCTTGAGATGGTTACATTAACTCTTTCTTAAATATTTTACATTGAATTTTTCCTCGTTTCATACTGTAAATTTATAGAGTTCATGATCTTAAATTTTCAAGTCTTCAGTACTTCAGAGCTAAGTCCCATATGTATAAAATATCAATAAAATTATCTTAATCTTTTAACTACAAAATAATGGTATATACATAAACTTTTCTTGGAAAATTTAGAAACATTCATCTCATGCATCATCAATTTTTCTTTTCTTAGTCCCTGTATTCTTAGGTTGCTGAACCATATTTGCAGACTTCTGGAAGTTACCTGAATTTTTTTCTTCCCTCTTTTTATCAGCTCCTTCAGAATGACAAGTTTGAGATGATTCAATCTACAAATAAAAACAAACACTCTGGTCAAAACTCAGCTGTTCCATTTTCTCTTCTGATTAATAATCCCATTGTTCCTTCTTCCATATCAGCCCATTAGTTAAGTGTCCAGTGGTCTGTTTTTTTTTTATATTCAGGTATCTCCTCAGATATGAGCCCTGTCCCAGAGGGGACAGAGATACAGAGACATTGTGTCCCAGAGACACAATCGTACATGGACGGCATGCTTTCGCAGCCTTGAGAGTATTTAGTGTGTGGGAGTCATTGTTCTTTTTTTTTTCTTTTTTTTAAAGATTCCATTCATTCATTCATGAGAGAGACAGAGAGGCAGAGACACAGGCAGAGGGAGAAGCAGGCTCCACGCAGGGAGCCCCACGTGGGACCCGATCCCAGGTCTCCAGGATCACGCCCTGGCTGAAGGCGGTGCCAAACTGCTGAGCCACCAGGGCTGCCCAAGAGTCATTGTTCTTGACCTCTGCTGCACAGGCTGACATCTCAACCAGTGTTGATCACAGTCAATGTTGTGAGAGCAGAGTGCATCACAAATAAGACAATACTAACACTGATTTTTCACATTCTAAAAGGTTGAAACTCTAGTCTGTGTTAAAAGGTACACTAGTTTAAATTATTAGTTAATATCTCTACAGAAAGCAGAAGTATGCTTTTTCTCTTCCATGCCCAGATTTTAAGAAGAAAACTGCTTATCTCTTATGTTCCACTGGACCTAGGACATTACTAGTTCCAGCATCCTATAAGCTTTAATGAGTTTTTTCAGTGTATAAAAATTAATAGTCAGTTACCCTGAAACAGCTCTGCGTGGGCTTCTTCATTTGCATGGTAATAACATGTGCCTCATTGTTTAGAAGATTAGCTTTAGGTCCTATTTTCAAATATGAAATGGTAGCATAAGCTGTGAAACTGTAGTCTTCTCTGTGGAAAATAAAGGCCAATAATCAGAAAGGTTTTCAGAAACTATTTAAAAAAAAAAACAAAATTCATTAAAAAAAATAAATGCAGTAATTTTAATACACTGATATGAAATGAAACTTGCACAAAACAACAGTATCTAGAGATTGCATTTTTTTGACATACAGTGATCAGTTAGAGTTTATCAGGCAAACTGTATATGGCATTTAAGAGTTTTACATGGAACTGGAAAACCACTTGTTCCATTGCAGTTATGAGAAACAGTCATCAAGACAACACCAAAAGAAATAGATTAATAGATACTTAAGATACTGCTGTAGAAGAAGGTGTGCAACAATTTTCTCTAGATCTTCACGAGGAAGTTTGGGAGGAGCAACACCTGCCACTCTCAATTTTGCTGCACCCTTTCCCATCCAAGAATCAATCAGTTTCAGTGGAGTGAGCTTTTCATTCAGGTCCTCTGCCTGCTTCAGGATCTTGACTAGATCTCTGCAGTGTGCTGTGACATTCTTTCTTTCACATGCTATAATGAGACAGACAGGCAACTGGGATTTAGAAATTGCAACAAGGACGGGCTAATAGTAGTAGTTTAAACTGAGTCCTCAACTTCAGCCCCCAAACTGTTGGTTCTGCATTAGAACTAGGCTATTCCTCAAGTCTATCACCAAAATAAGTTAGAGTCTTTGTAAGACACTATTAAATTTACAGTAAAGAAAATAAGCTGGTTACCAGAAGGCTTTTGGGTATGCTCTAGGAACCAGTGTCTGCCACATGTCTGAGAGGGACTTATAAGAGAATCGGTCTATTCCTATTTCCCTGATTTGTGCTCATTGAGCAATATTCCGAAAACTGTGGCTTCCTTGGTACTGTGATTTATATCTTGGTCTGATACTCCTAATTATTGATTCCAGAACCCTGATTTATATATCAGACTCTTGCTAATGTGGTCAGTATAACAGAGTATAATAAACTTATATATAAAAGTTTCTCTAGCTGCAAAGTTAAAAGTATAGTGACCTTCACCCACCAAGACATCAGAACTCTGTGAGAGAGAACTGGTTAGTCCAGGTCCTCAGACACAACACAGGATGAAAAAAGTTAAAATACACCAAAATACTGCTAAGTTAGTATCTGAGTGGTTAGCTATTATCTAGATCAAAAATGATTGACTATAGTCTCCTTTGCATTAAATTTCTCTTCCCAGTGACTAGCCTTTTCTTTATAATAGCATTACTATTCAGAAGAATTTAAACTTTCCTTCACTTCTTAAAAATTTAACATGCCTATAATATAGCAACATAGGATATATGCATCCACATAGCACTTTTTTTATTTACCTGTGTTTTAAATCCTTGCGTTAACTTTTAAATCTAGAAAATGCTATACACATCTTACTTAATCCACTTTGGAATCTAATATTGCCCCCATGTAGTCCTAGTGTATACATTAGCCTATAAAGATTTAAAAACAATGAACTAGGGAGTGTTCCAGTCCAAGATGGTGACACAGGAAGATCCTGACCTCCCCTCCGTGGGCACACCAAATCTACACCTATTTACAGGTGGTCCCTCCTGAAGAGGAACTGAGGGCTGGCTGAACAGCTTCTGTACAACAAGATAGACACACAGAAAACAGCAGGAGAGACTGAGCCGTGGTAACAAAGGGTGCCCCTACCTCTGATGCTGCAAACTGCAGGGGGGAGGGTAGTAATGAGGTACCCAGAGCAGATTCATCTACCCTGAGCCACAGAAAATCAAAGCCATGGTTTAAAAGAACAACCAGAATATAAAGGAAATAGCTCTTGAACCCTGCTAACTGGCAGGGGAGCTGCTGCAACTAGCTCTGGGTCCAAGGGTCCGGTGAGTGCCACAGTTTATGTTCCCCCACCACCTTGACAGCATAGAGGGGAGCAGGTCCAGGCACCCTAACCAGCCTACCAACACAGTAAGCCCCGTAGGCCCCCAGACCACACCAGCCCCACTGTCCCATCAAGGCAGCCCCACCGTGGGGCACATGAGGACAGCCCCTGGTCAGTGCTCACTGCAGCTTAAGCTCTCTCACCACACTGATGCAGGCACAAAGCCTCTCAGAACACTCCAAACCTGCACTGCTTTGGCTTCAGATGGCTTTCTAGGGCACCCCCAGCTGACGCCTTTTCTCAGCTCCAGCTGCGCTACCAGGAAACCCTGGCTTATACCCATGTCAGCTGTCCTTTCAGGGCACCATCTGTGCAGAAAGCCCTGGGGCAATCCCAGCCCACACCCATATCAGCTGTAACTGGCTTTCCTGATTGCACCCTACACAAAGCACCCAGGGACCTTCCCAGCCAGCAAGCCTCCTCAGCTATGGCTGCCCCCACCAGGGCACCTTCCATGCATTCCAGAACACCCCAGCTTACATAAATTTGGTTTTAGCCATCCTGCCAGGGTGCCCTCTGCAAAGAGCCTCAGAAATCCTCAGTCCACAACTACTTAAACTCCAGTCATCCCACCAAGACGACCCCATTGCAGGGTCCCCTGTAACTCCCAGCCTATGCCAGTCGCAGCTCCAGATAGCCAACAAAAGTCACCAGGCATATATTGTCTACATACACAGGGGACAACTACACACCAAGACCATTCCTTCAAGTTTGGGATAAATAGCAGTTCTTTCTAATTCATGGAAACAAAGTCAAGGAGAATGGGGAGACTAGGGAATATGTTCCAAATAAAAAAAAAAACAAGACAAAAACCTCAGAAAAAGAACTTCATATAGCTGATGAAGAGTTTAATGATCTTAAGAATGCTTGCTGGACTGAATGAAAAAACTCTGAGAACTTCAACAAAGAACTGGGAAATACAAAGAACCAGAGTTAAAGAATACAACAAATGAACTCCAAAATACATTAGAGGGAATCAACAATTAATGGATGGAGAACAGATCAGTGATCCAGAAGTTGGGAGGATGTGCAGTACTCCAGCTGAATGGCAAAATAAGTTTAGAAAATGAGGACAAATTGAAGGGTCTGTTAGATAACATCAAGTGAGCATTCATATTATATGGGTCCCAGAAAGACAAGAGAGAAAGGGGCAGAAAAGTTGAAGAAATAGCTGAAAACTTCCCTAACCTA